TCTGATTCCGATTCTGCGAGTGAAAGCTCAGAAATTCAACAACCTAATACAAAAACACCAAGTAAGTAGAAAAAAATGCCACTTATGTTAAATCTTACTATACATGTAAAAAAATTAATAATAAATTAAATAGATAATAATAAATATTAATACACATAAACGAAATAATAATAATAATATTTTATGTCGTTGTACAGATACAAATATTATAACGAAGAACCATTGGCATTGTTAAATCGTCAATATATTGAACTCAAGTATGACATTAAACAAATTTTTAATAAATTAAAATGTATCGAAAGATTGTTAAATAACGTAGCAGTTACTGGAAGTACTTCTGGAAATGTGGATGGCGAAAAGTCTTTTTTAGGCCAATTGCCACTGGCATCTGTCACCGAAATTAATAATTTTGATACTATGATATCAGAAAGTTCTGAAAAATTTAACTTATTGGTTTGTATTCCTAAAAATCTATATCGATAAAATCATGGTGCTGCATTTTTACAATAATAACGTTTTTTAATTTTCATCAAATAAATATTGGCCTACTTTTCAGGTACAATTACTATATTTAGTTGGCGGAGAAACAAATAAAAAAATAATATACAACATGCTTCACAAATTAATGACGAACGAAGCAGTGACGTTTTATTCAGGACAGGGAAGAAAAAAAAATTATCTTTTATTAATTTAAAATTAAATGATGCTGTAACTGGTAAGTACTTATCATTTCTACGTTTGGTTATAATATATCTTTATTTTTGGCGACAGCCCAGTCAAGGATAAAATAATCTATTTAAAAAATGTATAAATACATATTACAATAAAATGTTTTTGTTTATTTAACAAATATGCTGTGTGCTTCTAAATTTATGTATTGTAACGTGGTGTCACGTATGCCCTCCTCCCGTTACAATCGCTGCGCTCCTCTCACCTACCTCTCCAACATTAAGATGACCCCTAACCCTTCCCTTACCTTACCCTTTTCTCCCTGCCCACCGGTGTCGGGCCGATGGAGGCGACGGAAAGGACCCAGACGCGGACAACCCCAGAAGGAGCTTCGAGGCTGGCGACAGACCCCCAACCCCTCCCAAGAAAGGGAGCAACGTTGGACTTCAAAACCACCAGTCCAAGCAGCCCAGACGACGCGACGGCGGAAAAGAGCCCACCTGGAGCCATCTGTCGCCGAGCCCGAAGACTTCAGCCCACACCCGTCACCACCGAAGATCCGTCAGCCCCATCGACCCCGATTACCGGTACATCGATAAATCGATAATCGATTTATCCCAGCGCCGGAAGAGGCCCCCAACCTAGCCCATCCCCTCCCCAAAAATATCCCGCGATGGGCTCGTCGTCGCTGCTGCGACCCCTATCATTCCCGTCTACAATTATCCTCCAACGCGTAACGTAACGAACTTCCTGAGAACCCTTCCCAACCCTGAGATCTCCCTTCCCCCAGCAATCCTCCTCGCGTACTCCCCCACGAAGTATTGTACGGACGTCCAGGAAGTGCCACGAAATCCGTCCCCTGTAAACTCCTAATCTTCGTTCCTATTCTTTAGTTGCCACCGCGAGTGGCTGGCGCCCAACGAGTAATCGAGATTATTCATTGCAATTGTAACGATTATAAGATTTTATATTGAGTGAAGGTTATAGAGTGAACCCCCGAAAGGGTCACAGTATAATAGAAGTATTTAGAAAAATATATTTGTATTCTCTTTTTTTATTGATAATGTACTATGCTTCATTAGAAAAAAGGATTTTCATTTTTAGTTAAAACATTATTTTTCTAATAAAATTTTATCTCTTCAAATTAATTATATCATGTTTGTTATGATTTGAATCCTTTATAAGCTTCAAAAGTAATACTCATAACAACAAATGTATATGGCTGATTGGAAAAGTACGTTATCCAGTAATCGGTAAGTCCCGAGATTATCGAATCCGGTCAACACTAATAAAAATTTGTGAGGTTGAATAATTGTTTAAGAAAGGTTAGTAATGTATAATACGGCATAAGAGTGTGATCTCAGACAACGCGCGTGCAATTTAAAACGTTTTAATTTTATTTGTTACGCCCCGGCGGAAAATAAAAATTTATCCGCCTTGCGTCCCTTATCAAGCCCTTTGGGTTACGAGAATACTTGGCCTTTTATTTGACCACAAACTTTCTTGGAAAGCCCATATTAAATATCTAAAAACTGAATGTATGCGCAGAATGAATATTATTAAAGTAATATCGTCCCTTAATTGGGGTGCTGATAAAACAGTTATCTTAAACACCTATAAAGCGCTAATAAGATTTAAGTTAGACTATGGTTCTATAGTTTTCTCTTCTGCAAATAAGTACACCTTGAACTCTCTAAACGCTATTCAATCTAATTGCATAAGACTAGCCTTAGGCGCTTTTCGAACAAGCCCTATTCTGAGTCTCCTAGCTGAAGCTGAAGAAAAACCCTTGGAATTTAGAAGAAGGGAACTTAGCTTGACGTACGCTATGAAGCTTTCAACTACACCTACAAATCCTACTTATAATAATGTTTTCTTGACCCGATATAATAGAAAATATGATGCTAAACGCTCTCATCCCAAATCCTTTTCCCAAAGACTTAAAATATATTTAAATGATATTATAATCCAAGAAGTTCCGCCAACAATGCCTATTTCTATGTTGAGCGTTCCTCCCTGGCTAACACCCTGTCCTATAGTTGATTTATCGTTATCTGACTATTGTAAAGAACAAACCAACGATGTTACTTATAAAAATCTCTTTTATGAAATTATCCGGATCACATTCAAATCTATACTGATGGTTCTAAGTCTGACGAAGGGACAGGATGCGCTATCATATTTCTGAATGACTATAAATTACATAGACTCCATGATTATGCTATATATATCGTGGTCGCTAATGACCTTGCTGTTCATGCGACCATTATAAATAAATAAATAAAGACGCAACGGTAAATTTTGAACAAGAAGAACGTTCTCGAACGAATATTGCTACGGATACAAGAACGAAATTCGAATTAATAGTGCCCCGAAATTATTAATTAAATCTCAGGACATCGTATGCCATTGTAATTTTTCAACGAACAACTTGCGTTACACCCGCAATTCGCATTACTGGTCAATTTCTTTCCGAACGAATAATTGTCGATAAAACCGATTGATAAGCCAGTTCACCGATTATTAAACCTGTATAATGGTTCGTCAATCTTCATAATTCGCGCTAAAATTCTTAATTATGCTATTTTATATTTAATATTGAAAGTTAATTATCGGGTAAGAGTGATCTGGAAATTGTAGGGCGTAGAACCACCGAAAAGCCGTTAAAAATAGATAGATGACTAATAGAGAAGGAATACAAGATCTAAAGGTTGGTTCAGACACGGCTAGTAATTCAGTCGAGTGGGGAGTAGGTACTTACAGTAAAATGTGGATATATGCAACGAAAGATTGGCTGGATATATGCAACATCGCTATCCCCTCCACTTGGAGGGATCCCCCTAAGCGAACCGAGACGCTCGACGAGGAAGCCGTGTAATACGATCCGAACCGTTATATCGGTGTGACTAATACTAATTCAACGATAAAACTTTTTTATTTTTAACTTTCTCTTAATGAAACTTTTACTAACGCATTTGTGAGATTTTTCTGTTTAACCCCTTGCACTATGCGAAAACTCGGAAAAGGCCAGGCCAAACACGGGGCGCCCGAATGGTGGGGATAGGAGCCGAGCGGCGCAGACAGAGTAGAGTGTCGGAACTTTGAAACATGATATTTTGTGACTGAGTGCGAGAGAGACTAGTTCGAAATCACAATCACAAGTCAGATTCGTGATATTTAAGTTTGGCCTAAAATTTTCATCACGAGTCAGACTCGTCAAAATAGTGCAAGGGGTTAAAATGATAACAAACACGATATAGTTTGAATTATATTCATTTATTTATTTATTTATTCTGAATATGCTGCAGAACTATTGACTGCAAATTAGGTGCTTTATAATGTTAGGAACAGCCCGTGATTTCCATGAAACCGGACAGTTTCTTCCTATTGAAAATTAAAGTAATTTACAAGCTAACAGTAATTTTCAGTAAGTTAACAGTAAGTTTCATTTTAAAAAAGTCAAAAATAAAAAAGTTTTATAATTCAATTAGTATTAGTCACACCGATAAGTTTCGGCTCTTTCCTTTGATCATTGAATCTCTCTCTCTTTCCTCCACTGTCTATCCCTTTCTACGTTCACGCTTGGCTGGTCGTCGCGTGTAACCCGAGATTCGACACCTCGGCTGGATATATGCAACGTCTGAGTCCCAATGTTTGTTGCATATATCCAGCTTTTACTGTACTACTAAACCGTTTAGTGCATAGAAAAATGTCCGGACTAGTACAGTTGAGCTTTGAAAATCAAGAGTACAAGACATATCAGCGAGAGAAATGTAGAGGCAACACCATCGTGCGGCATTAAATAGTATCATCAAAAAAATTGTTAAGGTAATAATTTATAATGATATTTAAGCTTAAAATCATATTTAATCGGAGATACCGACGAAATTATTCACTGTTATCATTGTATAGGTCGTAGCAGAACAAGTTGAAGAAGAAGCGAAAAATGAACGCGTGTGGATTAGGCCCTGGATAAACCGAAGAAGTTCATTGGGAATGTCCAGTTCTCTTTTGAAAGAGTTGGCTGTAGAAGATAACGCAGAATATTTTAATACTCTTCGAATGACCGAAGAATCATTTAATATATTATTAGAAAAAGTCACCGAAAAAATACAGCAAAAGGACACACATATTAGAAGTGCAATTCCTGCAAAAATAAAATTGCAAACAATCTTGTATTTCTTAGCAACAGGATGCAGTTTAAGGACGCTGCAACATCTGTTTAGACTTGGAAAGTCCACCATTTCCGAATTTATTCCAGAAGTGTGTAAAGCTGTTTCTAACAATCACTAAAAGATTTTATTAAGGTAAGAAAATAAATTCAATTGTTCATTATATGGAAAAATATTTATTTTTCATAATTGTAAAATGTTCTTAACAATGCAGTGCTTAGAATATCATTAGATATTGCTTGCACTTGATTCGTCTGCCTCTGAGAGGCAATGTTCTCTAATCGTGTTTGTGTTAAATACGACTGAATCTGTTGTTGAGCTTTCAACGCCTGTTTTATTGGCATGTTTTTTAGTTGTAAGCCAACATTCCTTCCAAATGCCTCAAATTCATCTTCTTCTACAGGTGCATTAATAACCTCTGTTATGCTCTTAAGCTTCTCCACAATGTCCCTGATACTTTCCTTCCTCTTTCTCTTTCTGGCAGGAGTTGCAATCACATCCTCCTGTGAAGTGCATGGCTGTGCTGCACTTTCAATAGTTCCTTCCACACTTGTGGTTGGTATCTGAATAAGTCCCATATATAAAACATGACATTTTATTCTTCATTGCTAATTTAAAAAAACACAACATTGCTAAACAAAACAATATAAAACAAACAGAAATGTGCAATAGCAAAACTAAACACAACCCAAAGCATTGCAAAAAATATAGTTTATTGTACTTTTCAGGTCCCAGATGAAAACGAGTGGAAATGCATTGAGAATGGATTTAGAAAAGAATGGAACTTCCCTGGATGTTGCGGAGCGATTGATGGGAAGCATGTAGCTATTAAAGCACCCGCTGATTGCGGAAGTTTATACTACAACTACAAGCAGAGCAATAGTATTGTTCTGATGGCTGTTGTAGACCACAATTACTGTTTTAAATACATAGATATAGGATGCAATGGAAGGATTTCGGATGGAGGGGTGTTCCATCAATGTAATCTCTATCAGGCATTAGAAAATGGCATGCTATCAACCAATCATTTTCTGGTTGGTGACAATGCCTTCCCAATGAAAGAATACTTATTAAAGCCTTTCCCTGATTACCGCCTGACTGTAAAGCAAAGAGTATTCAATTATCGCCTGTCGCGTGCAAGAAGAGTTGTGGAAAATGCATTTGGGATACTAGCAAGTAGATTTCGAATATTCGAAAAGCCAATGCCTTTTTGTCCAGACAAAGTAAGCATTATGGTGAAAACATGCTATACGTTACACAATTGGTTGGGAGTAACTGCACCGCAGCACGTACATTCTGTCGACGCTGAAAATTTCGAATCCGGTGGGTTAATTGAGGGCAGTTGGAGGTCTTCGCAACCACCGCTTGGATTACTTCCATTGGGTAGGACGTTAGCCAACGTTGTTTGTCTCATGCGACATACTGCTCCAAAATTCGAAGCAGTTAGCATTTCCTCCTTTAAAGCTCTCCATAAATCTGAATCGTTTTGCTCTCTTGTGTTCGTTTCTATTATTGTACGATTTTTTGCATTGTCAGCAAGCTTTTCAAAATGTTCCTTGCGAAGTTGAAGCAGCATATCACTCGGAAGATCTGGTCTTTGCGAGTTTGGACCATAATATTTATCCGTTCCTTGCACTGGCTTTAATTTCCTTGTCTTACCATAGGTCATTCTAAATTGTTTCGTTTTCGCAACCTTTTTTTGTCACCGTTCCTCCAATCTCTTTACTAGTGGCGGAACGGTTTTACACATGTTCTTATGCATTTCTGTAAGTACTTGTTGCGTATTGTATTGCGTAACAGTTCCTGCAACTCTAGCATTGTAGGAACCTCTTGCACCAAAATTAATACGTTTTCCACCAATCTCTTTGCAGATAATTGAATTGAAAGTTTCTGCGGGATTGTTTGTAACATTCATTAACAAGCTATCCGAATAGCAGCTGAGGAATCGTATGGCTTTCTCGACTTCGCTATACAGACCCAACAATTTCAAAGATGGAACGTAATTTTTCTCAACTCTGTTTTCGTCCGGCATACACGTATGGTTGCGGCTATTGCACTCCTTATGCTCACCAAATATATGGCTAGGAATACTTAAAATGTCCTTCTGAAGTTCTCTAGCTTTGATATGCTGAGGCCCTTTTTCTTGTTTTCGCGCATTGACTGCTAAAACAACAGCTCTACGAATATTTAAAATACTTTTTTTAATGATATTTCGGTATACAACATAGCCACGAGCTCTGTGACCCTTCGTTTGCGTATTCTCCGCAACGTGTCTCAACTTCTTACATAAATTACGAAGTAAGTGATTGGTACACTCTACTTTTCTAACAGTTACTTTTTGTTCTCGGTAAGGTCTGTTATTCACAATAGTATGATAGACGTTGCTATCACCATCGGCAACAACCGTTCTATATATCAAGCCATGCATTTGAATGCTGCAATTGAAACCTTCAGCAATAGCATCACTTTCCAGGGTGATCCTCTCGCTACGCTACCCAAAGCAAGTGCCGCCTGAATAGAATGTGGTAGTCTACATCCTATTTCTATCATCGCTTACATGACTGTCGAGGCCCCTGCGGCGAGGACGGTTGTGTGCGTGGAAATGTGTGTTCTGAGCAGAAGAGACCCATTTAAACGTTGCGGAAAACAGTAAATTTGTATATATTTACCTTTTTATTTTTACATCAAATGCTGGAAATGGTCCCCTCCAGCGTCCAAACATTTTTGAATTCGTTTTTCCAAATTATTGAACACTAAAATCAGCGTATCTTCGCTAATATTTTGTATCTCTTGTTTTATATTCGATTTTAATTGTTCTCTTGTCTCTGGTTTATTGTGGTAGACGCGCCCTTTAAGGAAACCCCACAAGAAAAAGTCTGGTGGGGTTAAATCTGGTGATCTGGGAGGCCACAGATTTTTAGATATAATCCTGTTATCGAAATAACTTTCGATTTCCCTCATTGAAGCGTCAGAGGTGTGGCATGTTGCTCCATCTTGTTGGAAGTATCCTTCTGCCAATTCGTCGTCCGTTAATTCATTCACAAACTCTTCAAAAATGGAATTTATATATACATGTGAATTGACGGTTGAATTAAAAAATATGGGGCCAATAATTCGTCGTCTCGAAATACCACACCACACTCCTATCTTTTCAGAATGTAGAGGCGCTTCAAATGTTTCGTGCGGATTTTCAGTTGCCCACCTTCGTGTGTTTTGCGAATTCATATAGCCGCTTAGATGAAACCATGCTTCGTCCGTAAACCAAGTAACATCTAGGATATCTTGTCGTTCTTTAATAAAATTTCCAAACCAAGTGCAGAATTCAACACGTTTTTGATAATCGTGCGGCTGTAATTCCTGAACCGCAGAGATCCGATAGGGATATAAACGTGCCTTTCTTGCCGCTCGTTGACAACTTGTATACGGCACGTTCAATTCTTGAGATAATCGTCTCAATGAGGTGGATGGAGCCTGCAATAATTGCGTTTTCACCGTTTCCACAGTTTCTGATGTCATTTTGCGCCCACCTGCATGCTGGTTATGGACACTTCCAGTGGTTTCAAACTTATGAACTACTCTTAATATACATGTTTTTGATAGCACTGTGCCACCATAAGTGTTTGCAAATTGTTCTTGACACACCGTTATCGATTGCATACTGTAATATGTACGAATTATAAATAGCGCTGTTCAATGGTATACATGTTTTTAAAACGAATCGCTTTGGCTCACTTCAAAATCACACTACGGACGCTTCAACACGAATGATTCTTGGGACAAAAATTTGACCAACGAAATGCACTTAGGCAATAAAAGAGAAAGTATGAATTCATTAGACAAATAACCACCACCGTTCAACCGGTCCCTTGCAGGTAAAAGGTTACCCTCGAGTGCCTACACGGAGCTTCTATTTTTATCCAGATGTGCAAGGAAGTAACAAACTCGTACATCATTTCAATTTACACGTACAGCGTAACCATTAAGAACATATTCTGTTTTCCGCAACGTTTAAATGGGTCTCTTCTGCTCAGAACACACATTTCCACGCACACAACCGTCCTCGCCGCAGTGGCCTCGACGGTCATGTAAGCGATGATAGAAACAGGATGTAGACTAACACATTCTATTCAGGCGGCACTTGCTTTGGATAGCGTAGCGAGAGGATCACCCTGTACTAGAACTGGCATAACGATCATAATCTTTATAACATTTATGATGTTTTGGGGATTTAGTTTTTCGTTCCGCTATATCACATATTGTGCAGTATTTATTTCATATGCCGATAAACAGAACTTTTCCTGTGCGGAAACCTAGAATGGCACCAACACCGGAAAGTGAATTATAATTCGTACCATACGATCTCTTCATCCAGCTACCATCCGCTATGACAGTTATGTACGGGATACCGTCGACGACTTCATTGTTTTCAGAAGCTAATCGTCTTTCTTCTTCACCTGCTGCCTGCATGGTATGCATTGCGCTTTTCATAAACTCATCGACAAGTTTTTCACGGTACCTGCGGTACGTCGTTTCAGCCATGCAGGGCATGTTTAGGGCGGCGCATAATTCTTCTAATTGTGCATAGCCGATTCCGACTGTAACAGTCGCGGTCGTCATGGCCTCATTTACATTCGTTATATCTGAATGCATAGGTTCCGACCAAACAGTATCTTCGTAATTGCACATTTGGCACTTGAAGAAAAACTGTGTCAGACACCCATGCTGGCGACTACCGATCATTTTCCAATCGCGGAAATGACATTCAATACCTCGCGCATGATTGTCGAACGTTCTATGTATTTCATGTATTTCTGGCACATTTTCCGAAATACGTCCCACATCAAAGTGTCCGACGCCTACGACGAAATTGTCGTCGCTATTGTCCAGGACGTTTTGTACAGTGAGTCTCTCACTTGTACATTCGCATTGTACAACGACAGTTTCATCGTTTTTGCGAAGGGCGTTTTCTGATAAGATGCGCCCCACATCGTTATTTTCGCGAAGGGCGTTTTCTGATAAGATGCGCCCCACATCTTTTACATTATTTGGGAAAATTGAAGGATTTTTATCAGACATATCTGTCTGACTATCGTCCTTTACAGTTTTCCCAAAAGATTTTAGTGGTACATTATATTTTTCTTCGAAAACTACAGCAGCGTGAATCTTCATTGTCGACGATTGCCGTTGTTTCTGTCGCCTGCAAGGTAAAACGCATAAAATTATAAATATTTATAGGATAATTCATACAAATTACTGAAATGTATAAATCTGAAACACGTACAGTTTTCTGTAACCACTTTTCAGGGAGAGTTTTCTCCCTATACGCAATCCTTTACGAATACTACCTTTTTGATTTCCCATTTGTGTTTATTTTTTTCACAAATGCTTGGAAATTTTTTGAATAATATGTCTTCTACGTTACCGTGAAGACGTCTTATTGATAGAAAGAATTAGATGACAACGCGGGCCATGGCAACGCGCTTCGTAGATGTGAAACAAAAACGAAACGCCAACGCTGTCGCGTTTTCTAATTTCACTGGCATCGACAGTTCAACGAATGCTACGAAGGAGAGAGGAAGGTAGTGCAATCGAAGATGGAGAAAACCGACGGTAAGTGTTTCTTTTTATCTTTACTTCGCGGGTGTCATTGATGTCTTTCGTACATTAAAATGAGTTATGTGCATTCTTAAAATTTCATCGAGATCGGTCAATGCATTTAGAAATTATAAGTAAATTTCAGATAATCGCCTAAGAACAGAAGTAGTTACGTTCGTGGATGAAGAGCCACGATTTTCAGAAATTAATTACTTGTAACTTCTCAGTGTATTGACCGATCTCGATGAAATGTTCAGTATACACATAACATATTTTTTACAAATATTATATCAGTAGAACAGCAAAAATACCTTGAAGAAACTGGAAAGCGATCATTTTGACCCCTTTGGTAGTTCTAATGTCAAATTTGCATCACAGGCTGAAATAAAAAATTTTAAAATTGTCTTTTTTAGACGCGTCTCCCCGAGACAATGAAACAGACCACTATCCCAACGGTTTCTGCAACAATTATTGCAATAATTGTTGGAATAATCGTATATTATATTGTCTCGCGGACACGCGTATACACTTTTACTATTTTATTCCAGATTTAGAATAATTGTAATTTTATATCTTAGTAAAGTATAGCTCATCGTCAAAGCTCGACAAAATTTGCACTTTTCAGCGCACAGCCAACGAACCGTTAGAGGCTCAGGAGCGTATCACACGTAAACATATGCTGACAATAGCTTTCCACCCCACCTACGAGGTACTATTATCGATGCGTTTTTTGCCAGCATACGTTTACGAGTGATACGCTCCTGAGCCTCAAACGGTTCGGAGGCTGCGTGATGAACGTCGCGGCAAGGGGAATAGCGGTAA